TAATCGTCCTCTTTGGTTACATTGCTTAATAAACAAATATTATATTTAGATGTTGGGATATATTATTGTATCTGGATTGATTAGACGAATCTTAATCGATAAAAAAAATAATATTAATTTTTAATTTTTTTAAGCTTACATCTGAGTAGACATTCTATCATTATCGAGGACAAAAGAACAAACACAATATAATAATAATATCATATTCGAACTAAGAACTAATAATTCCTTAAAAAGGTTCCCAATGCCTCTCCCCACCAAAGTTGGTTGGCGATCTCCATGTCGTCCCGCACCACCACCTCCGCTTTACATACACGTGCGGGCGGGTTGTTGGTCGTCGGCCTGTTTGCATGCCCACGGCGCTGCAGCTGATCAGGCCACACGGGGGAGGTCCCACCCGCACGTGCGAGGTGGCAGGCGAGGACAGCTTGCGCAGCCACACGCGAAGGCCAACGCGGGACCCACGGGCCAATGGGCGGGGGAACCGAGGCGGGACGAGCGTACTGCAGTTCTCATGACGTTGCTTAATCATTAATCATCCATTAAACCAAATAAAATGTTCACGGATTATATAGCTGGATGCTATCTGCCATGATGAAATTGGTGAGTTTTATCATATAAATGTATCTATCGTCTTTAGGTTCAATGATTTAATTTTGTCGAATCAATACCAAAAATCTTTCTTTCTCAAAAACAAATTGAGAGGTGTTTAATCAACGAAATAATTTTATTTATTTGCTACTGACAGTCAATTATTACACAGCTAATGATACTGATGTGTCATTAAACAATCTGTTAGAATTTATAAAGGAGAGAAGGAAGCATCATAACTTAGTCATTAGTATCTTAGAAAGGCTTGCTTACTCGTAACAATCCTGTTATCAATGTCATAAATTCTTCCAGATTTCATCTCAATATAACATACCAAGATGACTCGGTTAGGTGTGATCTCATCATCATCATCATCATTGTAACCCTGATTAGTAGATTGGAAAGTTGACCATCAGAAGACGTGAACGTCAAAGCTTCTCAACACAAGTTCTTCCACTGTAGTACGACAAGCAAAGATCCACCAACAGTCGCTCTATATCCTCTTATAAGACCCACAAACCTCTTACAACAGTTGCTATGTATCACATCCTTTTCGAAACATCATCATCAGACTTATCCACACGCCATATCCAACCAAAAGACTCTTGAGCTCACCTTGTTTTCCTCGTCACCCAATTGCTCGTTGCAGGAGAAACATGGAGCTCAACAAAATGAGAAGGGCATGGCAATGGCCGATGAGCCCAACCAGTTTTTGATGCCATGGATCAGCGAGGTAACTTGGTAAAACAACTAGCCTCATCTCTCTCTACGCATCTTCACCTTTCACACTTTGCTAGAAAACACAGTAGCTGAGCATGCTCTTGTTTCTTTCAGCGTATTTTAGTTCCTTTGGCCACTAGCTCTGAGAAGGTAGAGAGATAGAGATAGAGAGAGAGGGGGGCTGTTGCAAGAGGTCTATATGAAAGATAAAAGTGCTGGAGAGGAGACAAGGAGGCCAGTAAGACAACAAGTGGGCGAGAGAGAGAAAGAGAGAGAGAGACTAATTAGAAGGGGTCATGCAGCTGTCATCTGATATCTAAACCTCTTATACAGCGAAGAGTCCCTTTGCACCTGTCGGATCGCCATCCCAGCCTTGTTTGATCCTCTTTACCTCCTCCTCTCTTCCTCCCTTGTTTATTCTCCCAGCATGCCGGTCTGGGTCATGGAAGGAGGTCGGAAGATCGCCAAGGAAGAGGAAGAGAGGTCTACCAAAAGGAGAAGAAAGGCTTCGTTCTTATTCTAGCTAGCTAGATAGATACACACCAACATATAGCCAAGCTTCCATATCTCGTCTCATTGACGGGTGACATCTTCTTGTTCGGCGAATTAAAGCCATCAGCTCTTCCTTCCTTTCCTGTGCACAAGGAACGAGCAATAGAGATAAGAGGAGGTCGTCCTCCGGCGAGCCTGTGGTTGCGTATGGCTTCCTCTTCTTCATCAACTTCCAGCCCTCAATACAGATCAAGGTTTGGTGACACAACCTTGACCAAAGTGTTTGTGGGGGGATTGGCTTGGGAGACTCCCACCGAGGAGCTCCGTCGCTACTTCGAGCAGTTCGGCGAGATCCTCGAGGCCGTCATCATATCCGACAAGATCACCGGCCGATCCAAAGGATATGGCTTCGTGAGCTATCCTCTCTCTCTCTCTCTCTCTCTACAGTTTGTTTTTGTCAGTTTGTCTCTCGTTCATCATGATCCACTAACAGTGGTACAATATTGATCTCTTCCCTGTTCTTGATCTTAACTACATATCTCATTTGTACTGCATATTTCATCATCATGATGCGTATCAACTACCTTGTTTGTTGATCTCTCTTCTTCGTTTACATTACCTTTTACCTTTTCGCATTACTTCTCTTACTTATTCATCAAAAGCATTCATAATCATGGCTTGAATGCATAAACATGCTTTGTTGCGACACTCGAGGGGATTAAACATGGGGATCGGCAGGTGACTTTTCGGGACCCGGAATCGGCACGGCGGTCAGTTGCCGACCCCAACCCGGTGATCGACGGCCGGCGAGCAAACTGCAACATCGCCTCCATGGGGAGGCCCAAACCCTCTCCACCACGAGGTATGCTGCCCCTTCACATTTCCCAGACTCAACAAGACTTGGACAAGTCTTACTAATTATGATAAGATGATTCCATCGTCAACTTTCTTCTTCTTCTTCTTCATTTCCTTTTGTGTCATCTTTCTCAACTGAATCATCTCAGGAAACGCCATGGGACATATGGTAAGATCAACAGTGACCCCCCCAAAACGTATACAGAAAAAGTACTAAGCTGCCAGCTCAAATGAGCAGGACCTCATGTTGGCTGATTCAACTTGGATCATCATCCTGATTTGGCCTTATAATATTGTCCAGCCAAGGCAGCGTTGGCTTTACCCGATCTACCTTGGCCACTCCAGCATTATGCCCCTGTCATACTAATATAATATTCCTCTTATCTTCGCTTAATTCGATAATTAATACTTAGTCAACATTGTTTGGTGCCATCTCAGGTCAAATAGAGTTGATCAATACACAGAATCAACATCATTAGTTGTTTTACTATTGTAATTAGAGCAACATTTAATTTGATGAGGGTATTTTTGGACCTCCATTTTTTTTTTTTTTTTTTGTAAGAATACGAAAATTAATGGCCACATTTTGATCAGGGAGGAGCAACCAAGAAGGGAGCATGTACCAGGGCCCAGTGCAGGCGCCGGACCCACCTTATAGCAGACTGCCAGCTCAACTACCCTTCCCTTCCCCTCCGATGATCTACCCTACCCCGTACGGGTGAGCCCCACCAACCGCTCTCCAATCCCTGCTCCTGAAAGGGATTAATGTGAGGGGATGATTGCTTCAGGTGCCATCATCGGCGCCTCCCGCTCGTCCACTGGGACCCATGTGGGCCCAACTTCGGGTTCTTTTGCATTTTTAAACCGCTGAAAACTATGTCCGCTTAATCGATAGATTTCATCATCGACTGAATCGTCCCTGAAAAGTTTTACGGCCGACGTCACCTCTCACGGACCTCCCACGCATCGGGTCCGTGAGGAGACCACGTCACCCCTGAAACATTTCAGGAGGGATTCCACCACCTCGTAATACAACCCCTTCACTCGAAAGAGTGTTCTTCTCCATCTTTCTTACTTCCCAAAGAAACAATTTTTCTCGTAGCAACTTGTGATTTCTTCCTACGGCTTATGCTTCTTTCCCATTTTGTCATTGCAGTTATGTGGCTTACCCATCTGGGCATGGATACCAACAAGTTAGTGCTTCTCCCTTTAATTCCTGCAAGAGTTAGGGTTGTGTTCTTTGGTGGTATCATCAACTTAATGCAGAATGGTGGCAAATCTCTGATAACCTGGTGTTGTGTGGAAGCAGGCTGCAGTGTACGACCCCCAGATGGCATCCTATTACTATCAACAGCTATATGGACCAACCTCTCCATCGGCTGTCGTTCCTCCGCCCTACCATTACCCTCCATTAGGGTACTCCACCCAAACTGGCAGGGCAAGTTTTCCTTCACCGGGACAAGGCCCACGGCCACCTCTCATGGTTCCCACGTCTTCTCAGCAGTACCCATTTCAACTCCGATCCCCATCACAAGCAAGGCAGCCCCTGAACACCATAGTAGGTAACACCTTCTAAGCCCCTTTTGTCTTTCTTCATTATTTACTTGTGGATTTCTTGAACGATTTGATGCATTTTGAGGCCATCTGATTTAGTTTGTTGGCTTGATCGCATCGATCTCAACTTGCAGAAGCTAATAAGAAACTAGCAATCTAACAACACCACATCCAAATAGATTTAGCATCTAACATAAATGTTAAGCATATCAAATTGTCATTTTGTTCCATACAGAATATAAAGCTGCAGATTGTTCTGTTTTGTGTGGATTTGTATGCGGATATAATGTTTTCAATTGTGCACCTTTTTCCCTTGATTTTTCATCGTTTGTTCCTCAAGTATGGAGCAACGGCAGGACTGCATGTCTGATCATCGACAACATCAAGCATTCTCTCTCGACCTCGAAGAGCTCTCTATGATCGCACTCTTTTTTCCGATGAAAACACTATAATTTCCTGTTAACACAGTTTTGTTGAATAGCTTTTGTTCGAGTCATCATCAGTTCGTGTACTGAAATTTATCCTTGGCATCAATGTTTACAGACTCGCGAGCTCCTGAGCAGACCTCCACAGCTGGATCAGATACCGATGACCAGGATTCTTGAAGGAGGCAATTTACATCCTTCAGTGTATAACCTTGTGCGCATCAACCAACTTGACTGATCACGAAGAACAACCCACCAGACCTGGAATCCATAATTCATGGCAACTTGAATTGTCATTTTTGCGTTAAAGAGAAGAACACCTCTCGAGGGTGGCTGAGTTCAGTGACGAAACTATAATTCGAGAGAGCGCTGCGACGCCAAACTCTTTGGTCTAATTTTTATTCAAATTATTATTTTTGCAAGACATCCGTTCAATGCAACTTCTTTGGAATCTCAAATTTTTCATGCCGAAATGATCGTCCCCCAAAATGAGTCCAATTTCTGTTGTCTCTGTTGCATGCGTTGGGGGTTCATTTTGCTTGTTTAGATTCTGAAGTGGTTCTGAATCAGTCCAAGAATTTTGGGAAATTGATGAACCATGAAGAAAATCCAAGACTGCAAGCTGACTTCAAATCATGATTCCGATTGCGTCTCCTTGATACTTAAATCCTCAGCTAATCTATCCAGGTTCATGTGAGAAGATCCACCTCGTCTTGTGGCTTGCTTGGCCATCTCTTTCCATTTCTTGGACCTCTCCCTCATCTCCTTCCCTTTTCCCCCTTCCATTAGCTCCCTAACGCGGTCACTGACTTGTCCTCTCGTCACCTCCTGGTCGACCTCCAAGCCGAATCCCCAGTGCACGCAAGCGTACCGGCAATTCGTGTACTGATCCGCAAAGGTTGGCCAGCAAATCAATGGCACGCCGCTGAGGACGCTCTCCAGCATCGAGTTCCAGCCGCCGTGCGTCAGGAAGCCGCCTACGGAACGGTGGGCGAGGACCTGTCCCTGATGGCACCAGCTCGCGAAGAAGCTCCTCCCTTTTGTTGCCGCAATGAATTCTTCCGGCAGGGCAGTCCTGACCCCACCGTCGACCATGTCAGGCCTGATGATCCACAGGAAGGGGTGGTCGGTGCCGGCGAGGCCCCATGCGAACTCCGCCAGCTGGTGGGCCGTCAGGACCGTGAGGCTTCCGAAGCTGACATAGATGACCGAGGCCTCGCTCTGCGAGTCCAGCCACTCCATGCAACTGCGATCCTCTCGCCAAACGCTTAAGCGCGTCGAAGCCATTAAGCCGCCCCCTATCTGGTCGACGAGCTCTCCCATTGCGCCGAGCGTGTAGATGCGAGGGAAGAAGCTTCTCAGGGCACCCAAAACCTCGCGTTCCATGTCGTCGCATGTGTTGAGTATCACACCCCACGCCTTGGATGCGTAATCTACTTCCTCCATCTCCGTCTTAACGAGGATGTCGTCATGATTCGTTGTTCTGATGAAACTGGAGAGGTCTCTGAGGCGCATCTCTCGCATTCCAGGGATCCAGTCCACGGTGGTGTCCAGATATCCATTCGTCAAGCAACCCTCATCTACAAATCCATCACTTGCTTACCAGAATGTGCGTAAAAGAACTCATATCGCTTGATATAATCATTTTTATCCAATTATATACTCTCCTCATTCTTACCAATTCGACAAGATTGATTCGATTGACTTATTCCTATCAAGAAATTTGATCCTCTTTTTCATTTCACAAAGAAGATGAGTACCTTTGAGCGGGACGAATCCTCTTCGGATGAGCTCACCCAGCTGAAGAGAGACCATAAGGCCACAAGCGCTCGTGGTCCAGAAGACCAACTCCGGAACGCCGAGCTGCTCCGCCACGCCTCGCGTAAAGTTCATCAGGAAGTTGGTGACGATGCAGGTGAGAGGGGGCAGATCCGAGGAGGAGTGGAGCTTCAGTATGAGGTCTCTCAGTGGAGCAGGAGAGTTCTTCTGTATCAGGAACCAAACTCTGAAGACATGATCCGGGCTCTCGCTGTCAGATTGCGAGACGCCGTCGGCGATGGTTTCGAACCGGAGATTGTTCATGGCGCTCATCACATCTGATCCAACAGTCTTCAGTAGCTGCTGATGGCTGAACTCCGTGTTGACGAAGGTGATGAAGAAGCCTTTGGAGTGGAGCAGCTTGGCCAGCTCGAGCATGGGGTTCAAGTGGCCTGCGGTTGGGTAAGGGATAAGCACGGCGTGCGGCGGCGCGTTCATGGATGAAGAACTTGCTGTGGACCTGTGGTGCTTCGCAAGTCGTCGCTCTCTTTATCTAGTAGATTTCGGGAGGGCGGATGCACGTGGCTACATGTGCATCTCACGTGGACAGGGTCTCAACTCAGGGTCTCACGTGGACACGGATTAGGCTCCCGTGGATCGCTAAGAGTAGATAGGATTAAGATTAACTTATAAAAATTAGATAAATATATTATTATTTATTTTAACTTAAATATTTTGATTAATAATTTAAGTTCAACAAAATTAATAAACAAATTGTCTCATCAGATTAATTTAAAATATTTAAATTTAAATTATCGTTTTGGGTTAATAATAGAGTATTTATATAATAATCAAATCATAAGCTTTATGATTTTTTCCTCATATAATTATTAATTCTTTTTTTTTTCTCTTATCAAAGTCTTCTCCCCAGTATATTATGGGAGGATTATGTTTTATAAAAATTTAGAGATCTCAAAAAGAAAATATTTTGAGAGAAAATAAGTGTGGTAAAAGAAAGAAAAGGAGGCTAAAATGGATTAAAAAATCTTGTATATCTAATGCTTAAAACTAAAAATAAATGGGCATAATTTTCTCATGTTGAAAATAAAATATCACTCTCAAAATATTGGAAATGATATATATATCCTCTCCGACTTAAGTCACCAACTCAGGTTAGAAATGTTGCACGTAAGGGGTTGATTGGCCCACGAATTTGGTTTGGGAACGAAAGACAGTCCATTTCTTTATCTCTCGATGGAGAATAGAATGTCCATCTCCCAATTCTTATCCTCTTTCTTGACATTTGATCAATTTTCTATCTTTTCTTTTATAGTATTTAGATCCTCGAGAAATTAAGTAAAAAGGGATTGAAGTCTAATTTTTAATTTTTAGAGAATAATCTATTGAGATTTAGGGATAGTATGTGTCCTTAATGATCTAGATATCAAGAACTAAGATATATATCATGCATCATAGTAGTACTAAGATACGTATAGATCTCAAAAATAATTATTGGTGGGAAGGTATGAAAAAAATAAAATAAAAAATATTTTAAAGTATTTGAATTTTTAACTAATCAACATGTTTCTGAATAGAAATAAGAAAGTGTTATCATAGACTTTGTTTTAGGATTACCAATGACCTCTAAGCTATTTGGGTCATCATTGATAAGTTAACCAAATCTTTATATTTTTTACTTATCAATATGACTTATTCTCCTAAAAGACTTGCATATTGATGAAATGATACGAATTTATGATGTTTCAAAAGAAATCATTTTTAATAGAGACTTCATACTTCTTTTCTTGATTACGAAGAAGATTTAGGAATCTATGAGTACTAAAGTTAAGTTTAGTATTATTTACCACCCTCGAATTGATGATCAATCAAAAAAAATAATTCAAATACTTAATGATTTGTTTAGAGCTGGTTAGAAAGGTGAATGAGCTAAAGATATTTCTCTTATTGAATTCAATTACAATAATAGTTATCATTAAAGCATGAGAAAATACAGAATGCCTATATGGGAAGAGGATGTAGATAGAAAACTATTAGCACCGGACAAAATACAAGAGACTATCGAAAAAATTTAAATTATAAAAAAAAGATTAAAGACTACTCATAGTCGTCAAAAGAACTATGCTAATAATAAAAGAAGAGATTGAGATTCAAGTAGAGGTTTTTGTATTCTTGAAGGTCTCTCGTTCTAAGGGTGTGATAAGATTTGGGAGGAAAATAAATTTAAACCCTCGATTTATTAGATCTTTTGAGGTCATTAAGAAGATTGGTTGTATTACTTATAGGATTGCCTTGCCACCATCCTCGTAGCATATCCATAATATATTTCATGTATTGATATTTAAAAAGTATATATCAATTTTCGCCCATATCATTAGGTATAAGTCAATTGTGATTGATAAAGATTTATCTTATGTGGAAAAACCCACTCAGATCACTGATAAAAAAGAAAAAAATTTAAGAAATATGACCATTCATCTTTTTAAAATGATTTAAAAATAACATTCTATTGATGAAACTAGAGAGTTAGAGGAGGAGATGAAGAAATCTTACCCTAATCTTTTCATTAATTAAAGTATAAGGATTTAGATGACTAAATTATCTTTTAATGGGGAGAGAGAGTGTAATATCTTTTATTTTTAAATTATTTATGATATTTTATAATTTTTATTTAATTATTTTAATAAGTATATATTTAATAATTTTTTATATTAGAAGCTTATTATTAGGGACCTAATTGTGAATTTTTTTCCTCATTCATGACAGTTTGCGTGAAGCTTATGGGTGTCACGATGCACAACCGTTTGTCGCCTGCATGCCATCGGCTCGAACTCCCTTCGTGGCCAATCGATGACCCCAATGGTCGTCGTGATATTCCACTGTACCCACGTGTGATCGTTCTCACGCGTGCGACAACCATCGTTGCGCGAGTCCTCATTAGTCACGTGTGTGTTCACGATTAATTGGTGACCCCTACGATCATTGCATAGTTGCTGAGCAACCCTAGCCTTTGGTGTCTCAACGACGTCGGCCGTGGCCAACAAACGTTGTCATAATGACATTGACGCCCAACAGGCCTATTTCCTTGTTGTGTTATCGCACGCCATGACACTGTTGCATGTACAACAACAACTACCAAGGCAAGCAGTCATAGCGCTTGGGCTACTACACACAAGCAGTCGTCACTACATGCAGCCATGTTGCCATCTGCATAGTCGTTGCCCACGACTAGGCTGGCAACCAATGGAGACCATCGCCCTCAATAGTGTTGATGCTGATAGTAAGCTAGTGACAATAGCCCGTCGAACAAATATATGCAACATACTTCTGTCACGGTTCCACCTACGTTGCATCACCCACAAGCAGGCAAGAAGCACAAAGAAATAGATTTAGGGATTAGACATAATTCATCACATATTAATTCAAAAATAATATTAATCTAGATTGAAAATAATAATTGAAAAGATGAACAAATCTAATAATCACATAAATATATCTAAAATTCTTTTATGATCTAAGTTATTTTAATTTCAAAACATGAGTCGACATGTTGACGTTGAGCTGGCTGTTCTTCATGGAGCAACATATCAACTGCGGTTATGTCAATATCGAGTGGGGTGTCGGCATTGAGGTCAACAACATGTGAGGCAAGAGGCGATGGACGACTCGATAAAGGAGCTGATGGGAGGAGAGAAGAGGAGGGAGATGAGGAGGAGGGCGATAAAGTAGTGCATGACAACACAACCAGGAGGTACCTCTATTGTAGTTATCTTATTGTTCAATTTAACGTGAATGAATCAAATGCATGCAAGCATTCACATAGCTTATGATATTTGTGTTTCTACTATAATTGTCGGGAAAAGATGTCTGAAATTATTGTTTTTCCAGGATGTATCAATACCAAATATCAAGTTGGAAAATTTAAAATCAAATAAGATAAATATCACAAATTTATGTGGAAAATCTTTCCATATGAAAGGAAAAAATCATTCTATATCATATCGAATATTAAGAATAATTCCTTGGTAAAAAAATAATCACTCGGATGAATTTTAGCAAATAAACCAAAGAGAAAGACCAAATCTTCCCAATAAAAGAAAACCAGAAAACAAAGTAGGAAGAGACTTCTCAAACATCAACACCGAACATATGACTTGAAATCATTTCAAGTCGTTTTCACTGCTGCGCCACAAATGTTGCTTGCAGATTCAGCCAAAAAAAACAAAAAGAGAAAAAAGCAGATCCAGTCATTTGTTTTTAAGTCAGACAAGCCTATTGAGAAGTACACTATTTTGGTTGTTGTCGAATCTGTATTTTTTTATACATTAAGTACACAAATATATAATTATATAATTTGTATGCGCTCCATAAAAAAAAATTGCTATTGCAATTCCATTTTGCTATTGGCAATCCCTTACTTCATACAATCATTAACCCTTCAAAAAGCTCAAGATATGGGTTGATACAAATTGACTCAGAGGATGACATCTTCACAGAAACATCAAAATATTGTCTATAATCTGATGTCTTAAATCCTAAAAATATTAAATTAATCTAACTAATATAAACAAATTATTTCTCATCTCCTCTTTGATCTTCAGACCATCTTTTCTAATCAATTTTTTTTTGTCATTTTGTGTCTCTAAATGCTCCGACGATATAGGACGTGGAGAAAAGAAGAACAAGAAGAAGAGAAAGAAAAATTACGGCAAAAGGATATCTTAGAAATATTAAATTTTTTTAAAATGACAGTATAAATAATAAAAAAATTATCAATAGATATTTATTTAAAAATAATTTTATTTGCGTCTCTTGTTTCAAGGTCGATTATGTTTCAACATGGCGTCGAAATTATTTTTGGATCACAAAATGAAGTTCTTCCAACAATGCTGTCCACACAGAAGAAGTCATATGAGAACAACTCCTGCGGTATTGAGATGAGGAGATGAGACCTCTCATCTCACATGATCTATTTAGGGATCAATCAATCAATCAATCACGATGAATCCCGAATTTAACTGTTTCTTCCTTCGTCTTTGACACAACATAGTCAAAACAAAAAGAGGAGAGAGAGAGAGAGAGAGAGAGAGAGAGAGAGAGAGAGAGAG